GAAGATTCATTTTTACTGTACATCTTAGCAACTTCAGCATATGATTTTTTCCTTTCCTTATTAATTTGAGAACTTTCACCTTTTCCCTAAAGGAAGCACTTTACAGCTTCTCTTTGGCATATCCGAATTGCCAGCATCACTACTCTTGCACTTTGGGGCTAATATTATTAAGTAAAATACAGGCTACTTGAACACAAGCACTGCCTACCCTGACAGTCATCTGATAACTGAGATGGCCACTAAGTGACTAGGAACAGGCGGTAGCATATACATCATGCATACAATGGACAAAGGGATGATTCGCATCCTGGACAGCATAAAGCAAGATGGTATGAAATTTCCTCATGCTGCTCAGAACAGCTCACAATTTAAAACTTATGAATTATTTCTGGAATTTTCATTTGATACTTTCGGACTATAGTTCTCTGTGGGTAACTGAAACCACAGAAAGCGAAACCACAGATGACAGAGGATTGCTGTATACCATTTCTGATCAAGTGCCTTCTGTTTCTTCCTAGTCTCTTGGGAAAACCCCAATCTTGTATAAACACATGTCCCTACTCATTCTGATTCTATGCCTGCATAGGGATAAGAGGCACAAAAAGATTAATTGGTCTCACTTCGAATCCATGGCCACCAATCTCAAGTGGCCCTAAATGCTGCCCAGTAAGCATATTAGTGTTTCATAATCTATTTATTACCCTATTTTTCTAGAACACTTATACTTTCTCCTCTCTCCCCAAGTTTGGTAAATATCTCCCACGTCCTTCATTTCTTTGGGTGTCCACATTTTTTCTTTTACTGAGTAGCATTTTCTTTTTATTGAGAAAAAATTTCACTAATCTGTCAGCATAATTAACCATACTCTCTTTTTTTCTTGCTGTAACTAAAAATAAACCATCTCTCTTCCTACTTATGGCCATCCTTTCCTCTTGGCATAGAATCCATTCTCTCTTGTCTGTTTCTATCACTCTGGTAATTCAATTTCTCAATCTATTTTTTCAAATTCAACCATATCATTTCTTTCAAATTTCAATTGAAGTTATTTCTTTCATGTTAACACACACACACACACACATACACACTCAAACACTTTGTTGACAGTAACCTAGACATCGCTAAACCCAAAAGTCAATTCTCAGCCCTCATTTTACCTGGCCCCTGAATTGCTATTTTGCCTTCAACATTTTCTTCCTTTGACTTACGTATATATTTTTTTGAAGAAGAAAATTAGCCCTGAGCTAACATCTACTGTCAATCCTCCTCTTTTTCCTGAGGAAGATTGACTCTGACCTAACATCCATGCCCACCTCCCCCCATTTTATATGTGAGATGCCTGCTTCAGCATGGCTTGAGAAGTAGTACCCAGTTACGCATCCGGGATCTGAACTGGGGAACCCCATGCCACCAAAGCAGAGTGCGTGAACCTAACTGCTGTGCCATTGGGCCAGCCATTGACTTATATTTTTAGTATAAAAGAATATGGTTTTTATGACCATGTTTTATTCTGTGATGTCAGTACAATGTGACAGAATAAATTGTACTTAATTCAAAATATGCCTTTAGCGGGCTGGCCCAGTGGCATAGTGGTTAAGTTTGCATGCTCCACTTCTGTGGCCCAGGGTTCGCAGGTTCAGATCCTGGACATGGACCTACACACTGCTCATCAAGCCATGCCGTGGCAGCGTCCCATACACAAAAAAGAAGAAGATTGGCACAGATGTTAGTTCAGGGACAATCTTCTTCTTCAAAACAAAAAGCCTTTTGGGGAAATCAGTTTAAGATTTATAAAAGGAAACTGTGAAAATTGAGAAGAGTTGAAGCCAGAGGGAGCATGGCTTTTTGATCCCAACATAAACAGAAAAAGCAATATTTAAAAAAGTAGGAAGAAAGGAAGGAAGGAGAGAAGGAGGGTGGGAAAGACAAGAAGGAGTAAAGTAGGGAAAGAAGGAATAAAGATGATTGCTAATTATTAGAGCATTTCCTGATGTTCTAATTCATTATACAACATAAATTAGAAGTCTACTTTTAGCATGGTCCAGGGTGGTGATGGGGAAGATGAGCTTTCTTCTTGTGAATTCACAATACACAATACCAGTTTTTGAAACATCAGTACCATTTATATGACATCAACATCCATATCAAGGTGTTCACAAGTCCTGGTGGCACACCCATAAACAGCAATGCAAGATTATGTCAGAGACGATTTCAGCTAAAGCAAGAGATGTGGATCAGGCCACATGAAACCTGCAACAGGAACTCCCGACCTAACTCAGTAATATTTTGTATTGAGGTGGCTGTTTGATACACTGTCTTATAAGATCCAGGAAATTCCAGTATTTGCATTAATTTTTAATGCTCTCCACTCTCTGCCATGAAGGTGATGAAACATAAGCAGTGCTAAGTGATAAACATTAGGAGAAGTCTTAAGACAAATAACACAGACAGAAACGTTCTCTGTTATCGTTAGCAGCGGCATTCACAATGCCCCCTAAATAATGCACGTAGGCAATAGTGAATAGTCAACTCATGGTCTAGTTTGTTTAATCAGTGTACACAATTTCTTAGTGAACATTTATAACCATTATTTAGTAACATCTAAAAACAGCAAAATGATCTTTAATGATTTCTATTTTGAATAAAGACGTATTTTAACTTATTACTCTATTAGGGATGTGCTTTGTTTAGCTTCAATAATGGGACAATGAATTAACATTTCTAAAGAGATTCCAAAATGTTGTAATGAAATAGGTCATGATTTTTAAACATAAAGAAAAAGATAATCTTTAGCATATATACAGAATGCCATAATAATCAAAATTATTTCCTTGATGTACTTTTATCAAACAACTTGTTAACTATCAAGCATACACAGATTTGACTATTATGTTCTATCTTCAGCAAGACTGGAGTATGAAAATCTAGATGATCTAGAATACATTAGAAATAACTATAGCAGTGCAGGGAGAGAAAAATGCAAATTAATTAGCTAAGGCAGATATTAACTAGGTCCATTATGCTATCTTAAGGTTCTTGGGGATCAACTTATGTTATTAGCCAGCTTCTTTCTTATTTCTAACATCTTTTGTCTTTTCTAAAAGCATTTTTGTTTTTCTGAAAGAATTGTGGTTATAGATTTTGGCCCAGCTTCTTAAATAAGTGATACCCTTACTAAAGTTCTAGTAGAAATTAATTTTTATCATGCAGGGCATAACTGTTTTCATACAGTACAGGTTTTGTCCCTGTTATTAATTTCCTTTAGTTGAATAAATTATGGACAATGAAAGAAAAAAAGATTTTATTGCGGTTAGATTGCAAGATACATTTCTCACTCAGAGATGGTCTTTCAAAAATAAGATGACCAAAAACTGTAAAAATCTCTTTTAAAAAGCTTATCTATATCAAGAGAATTATAAGAGATTTTATGTCCCTCACATTTATGAAATATTGAGGATGCATAAACTTTTCAATATACAGAAATTCATTCAGAGCACATCAGGCAATTGTCACTTTTGGCATAAATAACAATACACAAGAAATATCTCACTGGGAAATGAAGGATAAAAAAGTTATAAGAATTTAAAAATTGGTACACTTCAGACAAAATACATTCCTTGATATTTTCTCAGCATTCACTCATGCGTATCATATAGAAATTTCTTCGATATTAATAATATTTAGAATAGTCTTGTTGAAATCACTTCCAAAACTGGCTAGAAAGAGGTTCTTTGCTGATGCTTTGAAATTTAATCACAAATACCTGCAATATACTCAGATAGAATATTTCTATAATGCACTGTGAAAATTGCAGCATACCATTTTTTAGATCTTGTTAACTCTGATTCATAAAATGTGACATTTCTTATGCCATTTTCAAGGCAGTTAATTTATCCAGCAAATCTCATGATATTCTCTACACTCGAAAAGGTTTACTGTTTAGTAATAAACACTATTTTTGAAGAGGTAGAAATGCTGTAGATATGTAATGTGATAAATATTAGATTGTGTTATACACTGTAAAGTAACTCATTGTAGAATGCTGAAATATCCATTTCCAGATCAACAAGGTGCAAAACAACTACAGTAAAATGTTAACTATCCAACTGGCCCGGTATGTTTTACGAAGCTGGAACAAAGCTTTAGAGGTGAAATCTAACCTTTTCATTGTATACGCTTCTCTGAATAGTGTTTTCGCAGAAAATTAGTAATAATAGTATCATGTCAGCAAGCTATGTATAAAATATTTGGCTATAGTTTTTACTCTTATTAGAGATAAATTAAAATACACTAATTACTCACTTGTGGAAACATCTAGTGCTATTTTCTAAAAATTAAATGTCCTACCCTCAGCAGATCCAAAATGTAGGTGAACACAGTGATTTATAACTTTTTAGTATTTTTTTTGAGGCAAGCTTGTAGAAGATCTTAATGTAACTCATATTTGGAAAATAGTAAACAACATGTATAGGATTCTTTAGAAAGCCAATAAATGTGGAAAAAAGGGAAAATATTATCTGTCAATGATAAGGTACAACTATGTGTCATCACATTACATAATTGCTGGGCTTAGAATTTAACTATTCCCAAAGGAAAATCATTGCAAAAAATTACTTATGTTTTTCTCCTTTAAAAAACATGATAATCTTGTAAACAAAACCATAGTGCTTCACAGTATTCACAGTGTTTTTAAGTGGTTCCAGTCTCTGGAAAATGATAGATTTATACATTTCAGAACAGTTCTTCAATTGCCGGTAAGATAGGAGCATTACAAGTGGTGACTGTTTTTAAAAATATATATGAATAATGACAATTCCACCAAGACGTCCTTCAGTAAGTGAATGGATAAATAAACTGAACAAACTGTGGTATATCCAGACAATGGATTATTATTTACTGCTAAAAAGAAATGAGCTATCAAACCATGAGAAGACATTCACGAATGCATAGCGCTTAAATGCATATCACTAAGAGAAAGAAACCAATCTGAAAAGGCTACTTACTGTATGATTCCAACCACATGACATTCTGGGAAAGACAAAGCTATGGCGACAGTAAGAAGGTCCGTGGTTGCCAGGCATTGGGTGGGAGTGAAGGATAAACAAACAGAGCACAGACGGGTCTTAGCACAGTGAAAATACTGTGTATGATACCATAATGGGAAATACCTTTGTCCAAACTGGTAGAATGTACAACACCAAGAGTGAACCCTTGTTTAAACTATGGACTTTGGATGATTATGATGTGTTAATGTAGGTTCATTGATTACAACAAATGTCCCACTTTGGTGGGGGATGTTGACAATGGGTGAGGCCATGCATGTGTTGGGGAAGGAGTTATTGGGAAAATCTCTGTACCTTTTCCTCAATTTAGCGTGAACTTTAAGTTTCTCTTAAAATTTTTAAAAATTGATTTAAAAATTTATCATAAGCAATCATCGATGTAAACCACAGGATTAATGAGTTATCTTGAGTAAACAATGCAATATTTCCATTCTACCATTAAAATCACCATGAAGCATGTTAGCATTGCAGATTTTCTATAATTCGTATCATCCTTACTTTTTTATAAGTTATCTACTAATATTCCCTGAAAACTTTCTGGATGAAAAGCATTTTCTTGAGTAATGAGGAGACTTTGTATGACTTGGTTTATGGAGCAAAGAAATTTATGCAGATACTACCACTAGCAACTCAAACAAAAATCAAAGAGAATGTTGTCACATTTATTTGTAAAACAGAATGGATGACTTCATCACTAAAATTCCAATAGGACCCATCTCAAAAGAAAAAAAAAAGGTTAGGAGAATGACAATGAATCCCAAGGGGCTGCTTGCAGTGAGAAAGAGCAACAGTTAGGAGAGCTAGCCTTTGGGAAGCAATGACTCCTTAGCCATTGTGAGCAGAGGACAGACAGAAGGAGGAGGTGGAAGAAAAGAGGCGGGAGAGAGGGAACAGAGAAGAAAGACAGAAAATTAAGGGACAGATAAGACCCATTTTAGCAGCAGCTGAGTTTGAAAGGGGCGCATTGAGGAAAGATTTCAAGAGGGACTTTACACATTTGTTCACTCGTTTCCTTTCCAAAAACCCCACCACTTCTTGCATTAAAAAAGAAAAAAAGCATCAGACTTTTCTTTTTTACTGTGACACTGTCCCGGAAAAATCTCATTTTTATGGCATACGCTTTAAGGCTTTTTTAAATAATATTTTGGGTTTAACGTATAATAAATTCTCAGGTGCACCTCAGATTAAACTGGTCTCCTAACTTGAGGAAATCATCTGCTCCCTCTCTGACTTCACTGTTATTATTAGACTTCAGGCTTAAAGGGCTGTCAACAGTGAGACCCCTACTCTAACCTCAGGGCAGAGCGGTCAGCTACAATTGTGATTTGGAGGAGGAGCTGATATTCGAGACTGGGTGTGCTACAAAGAGAATTAAATTTTGATATTTCCAGGACAGTCTACTCAATTGATGAAGTAAAATAAAAAAACACTATAAGCTTGCAATCTGGAAATTTATTTTTAACCCAACTTCCAAAAACATCTACTGTATTAAGAAATTTGAGGTATATTCAGAAGTGAATATACAAAATTGAAATTATTCCAGATTTTTGCTGTACTTTACCTTAGGTTTCATTCCTGTGAGGAATTAGATTTTACTGTGTGACTGGAATCTTACCTTTAGAAATACTAGTATTGGCCATCTGCTGTTAGAAATTGGGAATGAATGAGACTTCTGGAACACTATTCTAAGGACTAGGAGATGAAATTTTGATAAAGGGATGCCCAAACCTTTGGGCCAAGAGGCAGTAATTTGTGGAAGACATACTAGGAGAAGATAGCTAGACTAGATACCCCATACCAGCCATTGTAATTCTCTTGGGAGTCTGATGGGTTTGGATTTTATCTCTGCAAGCTGAGTTAAAAAAAGATTGAAGTTTTGCCAGGATTCTGTCTATGTATGATAGTCTGGAAGAGAAAAAGTAGTAGACCATGTCACAGCCTCAGTCACCAACAATTACTGGTACACTCTATGTGAGCAATGGGAACAAACAAAGCCATTCCCAGAGATCAAGTCACAGGCTGAAAGATAAGACTGTTTCTGCCTCTCCTTTCGCAGACTCCTCATTCTCTGCTCCAGTTGGCCCTTAGGGCAGGGGTTAGAATTCTTTTTTCTTTTTGTAAAATGCCAGATAGTAAATGTTTTAAGTTACATGGGTCATATGTCTTTGTTTCAACTAGTTGATTTCACATTTGTAGCCTGAAAGCAGCCATAAGCAATAGAAAAACACACAAACATGGCTGTGTTCCAATCTTCTATCTATAACAATGGGCAGTGGGCTTGATTTAGCCCATGGGCCACAGTTTGCTGACCCCTGGTCTGAGTTATAGATAGCAACTCTTTGAATATCCGTATGGTAGGGATATATCACGAAATGCCAATTTAGTTGTTTTCTATGTAGCTCCATTCTTCTCTTTTCTAGAATGTATACCAAGGGACTACTTTTCTCTTTCCAGTCTAAATAAAACAGAAATAAATCTAAATAAAACTACAGATGTAAATTCTATATGGATTCTTCAGAAATTGCGTGCAGGATCCTTTGGTTCCGTTTCTAAGGAAAAGAAAAGATTGGTCCTGGGAAATAAGTGAGAAGGGGCAAGTGGGAGCCATGTTCTGTAGCATCCTTAATTGAATCTCATTTTAAACATCTTCTTCTCAAGTGGGAGAATAATAGTCTAAAGAATCAAGGTGTCTGATGAACAAGAACTTTCCATTATAGATTACCCCAAGAACTCTGATAAATGTTGTCCTTAAGCAAGGATTGTTCCTCCCTATTGGGGGAAAAAAAACACCCCACCAACAACAAACTGTTCAGGCATTCTGCTCAGTTGAAAAATCTAAGCCTGAGGGTCCGGGGCCCAGACTTACACTACCTCCATAGTACAAGAATCTCAGCAAAATGTAAAACATGGGGTAATAAAAGTTCACAAGCAAATGAGTTCCTCACAGAAAGGAAACACTCGTGGTTGAAGATGAGATCACAATTAAAAAAAACTACAAGGAAATAATACAAATGGGATAGTTTTAGAAGATAAAATCAATAAAGAAGACTACAGGCACAAGAACTTTAGAGCCTGAATAAAGAATCAAGAAAATCTATAAAATATCGTAAAGAAAGGGGAGAAACAGATAGAAGAACTAAGCAAACAGAATAAGCAGATTTGAACAAAGAATAAAAATGAAATTATGGAGATAAATTGTGATAGTTAATCTATGTGTCAACTTGGCTAAGCCACAGTAGCCAGATATTTAGTCAAACATCAGTCTAGATGCTGCTGTGAATGTATATTTTACAAAAGATAAAAATTTAGATTAGTAGACTTTGTGTAAAGCAGATTACTTTCCAAATGTGGTGAGCCTTGCTTAATCAGTTGAAGGTTCTAAAAGAAAAAGATCTCCTGTGGAAGAAGAAATTATGCCTCCAGTCTGCCTTTAGATTTGAAAAGAAACATAAACTCTTCCCAGGGTGTCCAGCCTGCTTCTGCCCTGCAGATTTTGGTCTTGCCAGTCCCCACAGCCAATGAGCTAATTCCTTAAAATAGATTCTCTCTTTCTATCTTCAATGAGTCTTATATCTCTGGAGAAACCTGAATAATATGTAAAGCATGTTAAAATTAATTGTTATAATGAAGAAAGATGGAAAAGATTGTAGTGGGCTGATCGGTAGCCCCCCCAAAGATGTGTTCATATTCTAATTCACAAACCTGTGAACACTACCTTATTTGGAAAAGGGTTTTTAAAATGTTAACTAAGTAAAGGTGAGTGTCTGAAACTTTTTTAAAGGGATATCTCTTTTATAACATTTGGTGCTAAATTTATTTATTGTAGAAAATTTTTTAATTCCTTTGCTTAGGTTTACTTAAGTGCTTTTTTAAATTTCCAAAAGCCAATAGAAGTTCTTTTAAATTTCAGAGACTTTATAAACTAAATTACTTTTTTTCAAGAAGTAAGCAAAGATACACCAATTTGCTTGTAGGAAATATTTTGTACTTACAAAATAGAGGGGATCTTATTAAACTTTTAAAGAACTTAGGCAACTTACAGAAGTTTGTAGACAGGTTTTCCCTAATCCATTATGTGATGTTATCTGCAATACATTTCCAGTTATATTGTGGATTAAGCTCATACTAACTTTAACATATATCATAACCTCATGGGAAATATACGAAAATTTTTCTCAATATTGACTTGACTGATTTGTGTACGACTTATGAAAATACCCTAATACTTTCTTAAGAGCAAAGAGAAATTTCATTTCTTAGAACCTACATCAGGAAAGTAAGGAGGTATAAAGTTACATACAAGCCAGAAGCCATCCTTCTCCTTCCATCTTCATTTCCATTACGACAGTTAAGGTGCAATTATACAACTGTGATACAAACAGTGAGAGTCCTTTGTACTTAATCTCAGTATTTGCTTGTTTGCATTTGATATTCAAGAGTGAATACAAATGACACATTTCTTTGTCCAACTAATCCCTAAATGTCTAAAAATGGCTTCCACAGGTACGAAAGAACCACCACAACCATAAACAGAACATTATAATGGACTAAGTACTTTCTTTTTGTAAGCCGAATGGTTTTTAATTTACAACATCAGGGTAAAAAAGACTAACAAAATTGAATGCAGAGAACAAGATAAAAAGCATCAAACATCTTATCAATAACTGGGGAAAATATTAAATAAATCATTGGTATCCCAGATGCCTGGAGATATGAGAATCCTCAAAACAAATATATATAAAACGATTATCAGATTTCAAGATCTCTACTACCTCAGAGTGGCTTCTGCTATCTGGTAGAAACCAAACAACTTTAAAAACTAACTTTCCAGTGTTGTTATGTGCAATGGGAGCAAAGAGAATCAGATTAGATCTGTGCAGCTAAAACAATGAAATTGCCATTTATCGAGTTGGACAAAATTAAAGAAGAATCTGTTTGGGCATAGGGGGACATTACAGCAATATTTGGACAAGTTTAAGTTGAGCTGCTTATTAGATACCCAAATA